GTTATTAATTCCCTTAGCCACTCCAGTAAATCTCTTTCTGCCACAAGCATACACTGAGAGTTACTCCTGCCCAAAAGAGACCTGTGGGAGAGAATTGGTGTCAGAAAGGTTAAGTAACTCAGTCCATAATTGCAGGGACTTGTCCATAATTTCAAATTCTCTGCAGAAAAGGAAGGCTTTTCTTTCCATTAGACCATGTGGTTAAAGACAGACAGACTCTGGCCATCCTGTGCAAATCTTCTAAGTGTAATAGTTTCCTCATTTGACATAGATTTTCAAGCCAAGGTGATTAATGAGTCATAAATATAATGCTACAGTGATCCTTAAAATAAACAGCATTCCTTGATTTGAAAATCCCAGGAGATGAGTTTTAATTTCTCTTACCAATCCGGGAATGTAAAAGATTTTCCTGCAGTGCCTTATTGATATAATTTGACCTTGCTCAGCAGTGGAGCTCCCTGATGGAGGTGTGGGGGGGGAGGAGGGGTGTGTGGGCACACATGCAAAGTGCTCTTACTATGCCTGTATTCAAATTCTAATTCCATATTCTTGTAAGAACGATCTCACTGGGAACCAAAAATAGCACAGATGGAAAATATTCTCACAAGATGATTGTCACACAAATAAGAATAGTTTCTCTTTAACCCATTCTCTTATCAGCTAAGCTCTCTGCAGGCTCCTGAACCTCTGCCGGTGCTTTACTTTAGCCATTGGCCAAGAATCTTATTCATGAAAAGCAACAATTTAATAGTAATAAAACATCTCTGTGGTTGACAGTATGCCACTAAGCTGGATTAAATGAAGTCTGCTTACCTTGTTTTAACAATATAAAAGTATTGCTTCAGTGACAGTAATTCGCCGTCTTTGTAATAGGGTGTGTCTTTGAGTTTTGGTGACTGTCTTTCTGGGTCCTTTCTAGCTTTAAACATTTCCAGTTACATCTCCTAATGCTCTGTTGCTTTCAGTGAGATAGCACAAAATGCACGTCTGACCCAAATTCTTCCTGCCAATCACAATTTCCTGTGTAGAAAGAGAAGGTGAATTAACAGTGATGCCTTTATTTATTTTTATTACCGCAGCACCCACAAGCCTCAGTTTTGGAAGAGATTGGGCTGTGCTAGGCATTATAAATACACAGAACAAAAAGGTTGTCCTTTCAGAAAGCCTGTCCTCTAAGTACCAGAGGGGGATGACAGGATACTGATAGAGGGTGCAAGGAAACCACGAAACAATATTGTTCAACACACAAAGCAACCGAACAGTTGTCTTTATGTCTTTAGGCACCATGGCAGAGTAGAGGTGTGAGGAAGTTGAATGAGAAGTATGACGCTATGGAGGTTTAGGCAGCTCCTGCAAGTGAGAGAAAGCCTGCGTTTGCTTGTTTGAAGCTCTAGTGAGTGGTGTGGCCTAGCAACACCCGCGCATCCAAGGTGGAAGCCGATCAATGCAGGAAACAGATCCATCAGAGAGGGTGCCCACAGGCTTGGGAGGCAGATGGGTGGTGTGTTAGAGAAGAGAGAGGTGGCAAAGGGATTCAGAGAGAAAGAGGGGGTAGAGGAGAGTTGATCCCATGAATCCCCTATTTTATCCAGGTTGTTTTGGGGGAAATGCACTCTGTAGAGTGTTAACAGTGGTCTGCAAATGAGCTGATCTGTCAAGTTAGCATTTTACAATGGCGTGTTAATTCCCAGACTTCTATGATAGACAGTTACATATAAATAAAAGCTATCATCCTGATCTTTTATTTGAATTTGTTTATAGATGATAGAGAAAAGCTGATGGTTGCATATTTACCACACAACAGATGTTCATAGTTCTCAGGCACATCATCTGCCCAATTGCCCATGGCTTTGTCTATTCCAATTATTTTTTCCCGTAAGTACACATTGGGTCGCATTCCAGCTCCGAGACAAAGAGGGTTTTATTTTTTGTTCCTCTTCGGAACTACTGAGGTCCTTTGGGCTTCTGACAAGAGCTGTCACATCCTGAAGAAGAACCCTGAAAACATGCTCATGGCAGTAACCTGTAAGGGAGTCATTGACAGGCTCCCAGGCAGCAGGTCTGGTGATACTTCTGCTATGAAGCTCCCATTTGGGGCATGATCCTCACCTTGCCCATGTTGCTTTACCCCAGAAAGGCTGCTATACCTGGGATATTCCTGCAAGGCTCCCTTGTACTGACTGTAAGAGAACCTGGAAAAACCTGTCCCATGATCTTGCTGTGCCAGCTAAAGCGGGTAGAGTGTATGGGCAGAGTCTGAGCACAGGAACAGTGGGGTGCTGAATGCTCCCCAGACAAGCAAAAATGTTTTTACTGTCATAAGTAGCTGAAGAATTGCTGTCCTCCCTTCTTTTCTGTAGTGATAACCTTAGATAAATCTGGCTTCTGTGTGAGACAAGGGTTGCCAGTGAACTTCCAACACTGGAAAGGAGTTGGGAGATGCACTTCCCTGAGAAGAGAAGATGCTGCTGGGGACCTGCCTGGTGATACCTTGTCTCTTCATGAAGCAGGGTGACCTGCCTTCCTGGGATTTGGAAACAGGCCTCACATGCTTTCCTTGCACGCTGAGCTAATGTGCTGCTCAGCTTCCCTTTGTGTTTTTGTGTCCTTGGCAGAAACCTGTACTGAGTAGCGCTTGCCTCCACTGTTCTGGTGTGGGCAGGTGAGGCAAGAAATCTCGGACCAGCTACACTTGTTGTAGTCGAGCACTGAATCACAGCGATGCAGTCCTGCGGGGAACTCGACGTCATTTGAATGCAGCATAGCGCTGTGAAACGTCGCACGGAGCAGAGAGAAGAAGTTTTGACATTGGACAGACTATCAGCCAGGCACAGCGTAGCCAGCCTGGGATAATCAGCCATGCTGAGAGGCAAGGATAATTAGGCAGACACAGAGATACCCTGCAGATATCCTTCTGCAGCTCTTAACTATTCTTAGAAAACTTTTCCTGATATATAGCTTATATATTGCTTGCTCTGAATTAAATGAATTCTTATGTTGTCTGTTACATATTCTTGTTTACTATGTTGGAAGCTCCTATCATATTCTCCTGAGTCTCCTCTTTTCCAGACTAAACAAATAGAGAAGAAATTCCGCCTTTCTGTATAGGAGAATGTTTTCCTCTCAAATTTGTCTGCATTTTTGGTAAAATATGGTATTCCAAATTGCACCCTAAGAGAAGTTTCACTGATGCTTAATGAAAGGGAGTAATTACTTCCGATGTCTGACATGCATCAGTCTTATTAATGCATCACTGAATGAGCTTTACTTTTTTTGTTGCAGTGTGTCATGGTGTTGAGTCATATTCCACCTGGGGTCCTCCATAACTCCCAGCACTCCTTTTGCAGTACTCTTATTTAACCAGTTATTTCTTATTTTGTATTTGTTCATTTGATTTCTCCTTCCTTTACTCAGTACTTCACACTTGCCTTTATTGAGTGTCTTTGCTCGATTTAAGGCTGTTTCTTCAATTCATCAAGACTTCTGAATTCTGAAAGAGTCTTTTAAAGCATTCACAACCTTCCTGGCATCCGCACCTTCTGCACTGTCCTTTCTATGAGCCGAGTCATTAGTGAAAATACTGAATCGACCTGGTTTCAGGACAGATCCTTAGGGAACCTCGCTTGATACATCCAGATATGCTCAATACCTGTGGGAGGAAAAATTGGTGTTTGAGCATAAGCTTTGGTCTTAATTCGGAAACAGCAAGGCATCAGGGCAGTTCATGCAGCCATTTGAAGTGAAGCCTCAGCTTCATAAAACAGGATGAACAGGAAAATACACATGTGCATCTTCTGCGCAAGCTATCCTGTGCCTTCGCCCTGCCCAGCATTCAAACGCCACGCGCTGCCTTTGTGCCGTGAATCCACACAGCATCTTGAAGGGGGTTATAAATATACATCCTCCTTCAGTTTGAGAAGTAAGAAGAGGATGCAGATGGGTGAGAACTGTTCCAGTGAAGCTCGCGCTCTCACCCGGCACATAATGAGATCAGAATGCAGGCAGGAATGTGTGGAGGAGTGGAGCTGGCAAGGATTCACCAGCCTGAATTATTCTAAGCCTATTCCATCCCTAATCAAACCTTTTTTCTTTTTCTTTTCTTTTTTTTTTTGTGTGCAAAGGTGCTTTATGGAGATGTTTCTGTTTGAACATAAGATTCAAGCTCCTTTTACTACATGAGCAAATTCTAGTTGACAGGATATTGCTCTTTCGGTGAGTTTTTGGTGTGCTAGGCTTCTTATCATAGTTTCCTTTGCTATGGTTATTTCAGAGCACTTGGCATTTCCCTGCTATGTAGCCAATTTGCTGGGTGCTGGAAAGTATGAAATTGGATCTTTAAAAGGATCCCGGATCATTTTTGATGCTAATATAAATCTAAAAAAAACCCCAAACAAAAAAGGGGGTGGGCAGAGCAGTATCACATGAGTTATCCAGACTTGTTTACATCCTGATTTGCAAAAGATACAGCTTGACCTCAGCATAACCTTGAAATCTACACAGGGAGAGGAAATACTATGTAAATTAGACGAGCCAAAACAAAACAGGCAGACAGAAGCTCAGTGTACAGAGCAAGCTGGGAAGGCAGGCTTTGCAATCGAGAAGAAATGTGCACAAATTCTTTTTTTTTTCTGGGATGTAAATGGCTGTGAAGAACGTCACTAAGAAAAAATGGCATTGCTGGTTTTACAAGACCACACCCATTTTCCATAGCATAGGAGCAGCATGTTTTCCCACACCAACCATGCTGCAAACCCTCACCGGGAAGCCATGCCCTAAGGAGGACCGGTTCAGAGCACCCAGGAAAACGTACTTGTGCCCAAGCTTTTTGGCTGCGATCTAAATGGGTTTTAAAAGATGACAGTGATGTCTTGGGGGCCCTACCATGGGAGCACAGTGATGCACGCTGCTTATAAAATACTTAATAGCAGTGGATGGATGTTGGTGGTGAGCAAGTCTTGCGTTAGCCTCCTGTGTTGGATAAAGAAGGGGGAGAAGCATACCAAACGCTGTGGTTCATCCAGGAGATTTTCAGCGGTGGTGGGGCCATGCGGTTCACTGTCTCCAGTTCTGCACTGGGACAAGTGTTTGTGTGGCTGAACCGTGAGCTGGACTGAGAAACAGATCTAGAGGAAAAATAATGTCATTTTTTCAGTGAGTTAAAAGCTTTCCACCCCACTTAGGTTTTTGTCTGGGCTTCCTACGCACGCTCACAGATGCCTGCATTGGCGGGGCGAGGGGGCTGCTGGCGAAAGGGGGCTCAGCCCCCTGGGCTGGCAGAAGCACGACCTCCCCTAACACCGTACTTCCACTCCTGAAATTACAGCTGCGGCTCGGCCTCTCCACGCTCTCAGCGCTTCCTGGTATAGTGCTTGTGTGCCCCACCAGCGCCGTGTTTTAGAGAGCTGAACCATTGGAGGACTTCTACAAAGTGATGCATCTTCACTTTCAGCTCCCTTGCAGGATCTGGTGACCACGGAGGTGGCACAAAGGAGGCCACCAGAGCACGGCACCCGGCGCGGCACCCAGCTGCAGTTCGGCATGGCGGCACCCTGAGCGTGTCTAACCACCGGGCTGTTCGGTGTCTGCAGATGCAGCTTGCTCAGGCACTTAACCATGGTAGGAGAATGTTATTCCTTGCCTCATTATTTGGAATTGATTTCAGGAGAGGGACAATGGTTCCCATGCTGACCCCTCTTGGCCCTTGAACCCACAAAACCGTTAATCTCTGAATTTTAATCTCTGGAAGAAGGGAACACAGCAGTTGTGAGCAGTATTTTAAGCCTGATGGAGTACAATTACCTAGTCCACTGTAGGCAATGGCAGAGTCCCGTAGAAGTACAGCTTGTAGCCTGAAGCATGTTCACAATGAGCAAAGTTTAGGAGGCAGCAATGAGATAAAACGGGGGCAAAAAAAGAGATAACTGCATGCCCCAGAATTGCCAATATCCTTCCTGAAATCTCCATTAAACAGGTTCTCAGCCATGTTACTTTTCTGAAGTGACTGGGGAGAGCTCTTACCTAGCATAAGCATTGTACGATTCCAGGAACAACAGGTTTTCTTTTGCCTGACAACGTCAAATTTCTTGCTCGCAAAGAAATGAGAGTTGTCCATGGATCAGTGTTGACCTGAGCGGTTGCGCTCAAACGTTTCATTCCTCAGATCATCGTGGGCTCACCAGGGGCCATACTCTTCAAGCCTTTCTCAAGATGATGTGAACGGTCCACTTGGGAGTCAAGTTCTGTTCAGAAAGAATAGCGATGCCAGAATTTGTTCATGTTGTTGAGAAATAAGAAGTATATTGTGCGTAATGATGTCTGCTAAACTTTTCATAGCCCTTGCTTGCCTGCTGTCTCCTACTGGCTACACACTCACACATGCAAACCATCACTGTTTAAATGTAAAATGACATTTTGGTGTATATATCTATTTAAGCAAAATATGTTTCCTATGAACACTAATTGGCATAAGAGTCCTGCTTTAAATGCATAGATTTTAATCCTAGAAAGCTTCCTCAGCCATTGAAATGTGTACTTGTACAGGAGAAATTTGAAAGAAAAAGTCAGTGTGGGAAGAGGAATGAATCTTTTAAAGCAAAGGCAGGGGGGGAAGTTAAGGAAATATTAAGGCAGTCAGAGTTGTCCTTTATTCCATTCCACTGCAGGTCCGTCACTTTTCAGGGGTTTGTGCACAGGAAAAAATACTGTTCCAGAGGAGTGTTGGTGGCCAAGCCTAGCTCTCACCTCCAGTACTGCTCTGTAGCAGCATGAAATGTGAAAGGAAGCTAACTGAAAAGCAAACGTCTCTCTCCAGTGGAGACCACAGGGTTCAGTTAAGTCTGAAAATCTGGCTTTTTAATTCATTCTCTCTTTGGATTTTGACCATGTGGGAAGTCTTTATTCCTACTTGTACAGAAATTTATGAAATAAATGGGAAATGTAGCTTCTTAATATTTAATTTGCTTGGTGATTAAAAGAAATTAGTTTCAACCATTGAGCAGTTTAGCAGAGCTCTATTAATTTTTATAAGGAAATTTTTGCCTGACTTCTTCCTGTGAATTTATATGAAAATAATAATTATTAAATCTTCTCCCATCTGTGTGTTTTTGATAAGGACATCTCTAATGTGAATAATCAGAAACTGAATCCTAATCGAATGCTAGTGCATTAAGTATAATGTAGTCCATACTTCATAAATAACGTGTGGATTCTGGCGTTAAAATACTGGCATGACAATGCCCAGAAGTACTTTGGATAGAAAATTTATTTTCAGATTTTCGAAGCAACCAGGCAGAATCAGGAACTTAATTCAGAATTTACTTAAGCATTTAGGTGTTTAAGCCATGTCGACTTACATGTCTTTGGAAGTCTGTGCCTTTCTTTTTTAAACCTATAGTGAAGAATAGAACTTGTTGCACTCTCTTGGTTTTGAGACAGCGCTGAGATAATTACAGTGATAACAGCGTCACTGCAGAGCTAAAACGGAAAGACCTTTCTTTTGGTATGTGTGTAACGAAGAGTGTGATGTTTTCAAATACTGAATGACCAATGAATCAATATTTCCCCAATGTTTTTCAGACACAGTATGATAAAGTAGTCTTTCAGGTTACTGATTTCAGTTTGTATTAATCTTTTTCATCACACCTTTATAAGTAAGGCTTTTGTTACTGCTTTTTGTAGTACACTGAACTGGTAATCTGATCTCACTTTTTGAGACTTAAGCATCATTCTATAAATACAGCTTTGGGCTAAAAATTATTTTCACTTTTGACAGTTTCCATATGATTTTCATTGTTTGTGCCCACCACTAAATTATCTCAAAACATGGCACCATGGCTAACAGCTAAATTGGGTTTCTCAGAGAAATGTTTAATTCTTAGGCAACATTTATTCATATATGATTTAATAAGACAGCACAAGAACTAGATGAATGTAGTTTGAAAAATGAAAGTGGAAGGAGAAAATTATTTGCTTTCTAGGCAGAAGTGAAGGGAGCATTTTTTTGACTGCCACCTTCGCCTTCCCTGTGGCTCTTGCAATACCCCAGTGGAGAAGACATAATGGTGGTGACTCAGCTATGGACAGCGTTCAAAACAACCACCACCAGATGAGCACTGTATGAACTGATTGCTTATGAGTGCTATTTATGGCTCATCATCCGTCGGGCTGTACCGGAAGGAGATTGCAATTGAAATCAGGGCTTTTTGTGGTGCAACCTGCTCAGACCCACACTAAGAGATAATGGCTGCCCCAAGTGCTAACAGGAGAAATGATATGATAGCTTATAGGTGGCCAGACCTTTTTACCAGATGGGGGAATCTCAAAGACCCTTAAAAGAGTCAGAAATGGAGAATTTTAATTTGCAAACTATTGCTACAAGACCACTAATAAATCAATGAAGTAAGAAGGAGGTAGGTTTCGTCTGAGTTTCAATGGATAAACAGGGTAAGTAAAGACTGTGTAAAAGACAAGGGCTTTGTTGACAGTACCACACCGACAGGTCCCCCAGGACTGAGCTGTTGTTGAGCCGGGTGATTCAGGTTCTGCCTGGGCTGGAGCTAGACCAGCAGAGGCCTCAGCGTGGGCTGCAAAATCTCTCTGAGATGCTGAGTAAGGGCTGTGCTAACAGCCCAACTCCTACAGTGTAGCACTTTTTTCAGGCAAGACCTCCTTAATGGAAAGAAACCTGGAAAAGCCATAAACAAACTGCTCACAACGTGCAATGGACCTTGCCTGCAGCACAGGGCAGGTTTGTGCTGCGCTGGGTTTGCACTGCACAGGTATTCCTTGCAGTGCGTGACTGCCTCTCTGCCAATATTATTACTAAAGCTTTATATTAGATCACATATCCTAATTGTTTTCTGATTCCCCTGTTGAGAAAGTCTTTTAAACTTCCTTCATGTGTCTTGGTTTAGTACTGCGGTTGCACCTACGCTTCTGCCCCCATGATGGTGTGTGTCCAGGAGGCTGGGGCATGTCCGCTGTCTCCCTTCCAGAGGAAACTATGTGTGTGTATCTCTGTATAGGGACAGCATGAGCAGGCAAAACCGTAAAGGAGGGTAAGTTTCAAAGAGGATATAAGCCTCTAAAATGTAGACATCAACAGAGCTTGCCATGGGGCATGTGTGTCCTTATGCTGCTGCTGAGGACACTGCAGAGGCAGCCACTGTGGGCCAGTGATCATAGCTTGCGACAAGCTCTAAACTCTGCTCTGCTCTTCCAGGCTGTATAATTTTTTTTTTTTTCTCCCATGAAACAATAAGGTTTCACTTTTACTTTGGACTTGATCTCAATTTTATGTTGACCACAGTCATACCCTTTAAATGAATCTGTAAATAAAAATCAGACTGAAACTGTGCCCCCTCCCGCCTACCAGTATACTACATGCTACAATAAAAAGCTTCTCCAGCAAACTCTTGCTTCTTGCTCAATAGTCTGACTCATGTGTTCTGGTTAGGGAAAAGGGAGTGGCATCCTGCGAACCCCAGTGCAGCTCCATGTGATACAGTGAGTGTGGAGTATGGAAAGGAAAACACAGCCTTTGTTTGCTTAGCTTTATGGTTGAACTGTAATTAATGACAAATGGGTCAAAAGTATGGATTATAAAATCACGGTATAAGTGAAATTCATATGTTAATAAAGAAGTCCTAAAATGTATTTTTTTTTTTTAAATCAACGTAGGGCTATTAAAAAAACCCCTCTAGTCTGATGACTGAAAAAGCGCAGACACATGGAAATATTCTTATAGTTTTCAGATTATTTTCATTCCAAGGTGTTTAGAATAGCTCCATTTTTATTTTAATTTTTTTTTTGTTTTGGGAGTTATTCCTGGTTAGTAATAATTTCCAAATTTTCTCATAAGCATGATCAAAATGTTAAGATACTTAAATTCAATTCAATATTTAAGTAACCATCTCAGCAAAAAAAATGCGTAAATTATGTCAATGCATTTTAAAAGTAACAAAGGAACATTTGTGAAAATCCTCCCCCAAAATTACAATAATGATAACTTTTTTTTTTCTTTTTAGATGTTGTTTTCTTGCTTTGTTAGATTTTTGATCAAGTCTCTTGCTACAAGAAAAAGATCCATATGCAGGTCTTAACTTTGTGTATTAGCATATAAACCAGCTGTAACTTAAAAGAAGTGGAACCAACCTCTTGCACTCAGGTTGCCTAATACTATCCAGTATAAAAAGTCTGAACATTTCTTTGAGAAGCATTATCATCCCCACAGCTTACAGGAATCTTTATATACTTAGCAAGGAAAAACAACCCAAGAACAAAACAGAAAACCAAGCCTCCAAGGTTACAAACTGGCCTTTACTGGTCCAGTGCCATGGCTTTCAGATTTAACTAAGCTGTAAGATGTTAAAAATCGTCATTTCCCTTCTCTCACAGGAGATCCTCAGGGAAATCCAGTCAGTCTGCTAAAATCACTGTACTCTGCAGAGCCCAGCACGTGCTGCCAGCGGTGCAGGAGGAGACACAGAGCAGTGTCCTGAGGATGCCTGGGAGGTCTGGGGAGAGCAAAATGGCACCATCC